TTAAGCACATCAAGGGTATTAGAACCACTAAAATTATTGTTTATGTGATTTGTATCATTAGGAAGGATATCGACAGAGGAGCGTATGAAAGACTTATTAAGATTATCAACATTAAGAGATTGGACAGAAGTACATCGCTTACCGCTAGTTATTTCTTTACATGACAAGAATCTTTGGTTGTATAAAACATTTAGTCTGTGCATTTCGAGTTCTATCAGAGTATTTAGCTTTTTTACACCTGACTTATCATTTGTTTTGAACAACAGTTCTTTATCTCTGCGGAGCTTTTTGAGATATGGAGAAGAGAAACGGTCAAAACGAGTGAATAATGTTTCTTTAGGACAACATATTTCGAAACAGAATTTAAGATAATCTGTGGTGTTTGTGATTGTGTCATTTAATGTTTGTTCTGTAAATAGGTCCCAGTTAGTATCTATCAACATGCATCTGAGTTTGCTTAGATTGTCTTGTGAGTAGCATCTCCGTTGAAATTTACTGTAGAGGTGAGAGAAAACACGTTTGTGTGATTTGGAACATATTTTAGGCAGTACACGTATGATGCGGTGGTCAGAGTTCAGTACAGGAGCACGTATGCGAGCTTCATATACACCAACATCATTGATGAATATTAGATCTAGTGTTTTACCAAGACGGGTAGCAAAGTTAACAATATTGTCATGGCCAAGTGATATAAGGAAGGAGTGATCACATGAGTTAAAGTCGCCAGTCACTATTGATAAAGAGTTCTCGAAGCAAGCTGCAGCAAAAGCGGTGAATTCATCTGCAAACATAGATAAATCCGATATGGTACAGCCAGGAGAGACATAAACATTAGAAATATAAATGAATTTGTATTTTGACAAGTGTCTCGGGCGACATCTGACAGTGATGCAATCAATGTAGTCATTCGAGAATTTGAAACAAACGTTGTTAGAAATAGACTATTTTGAGTGAATAAATGTAGCTACACCTCCGCCGCATTTTTTCTTGGAACAAACACGGTCTTGTCGGAATACATTAAAATCATTTAAAGATACTATATTGTCATCATATGAGTCATGAAGCCAGGTTTCTTGTAGAGTGACAATACCAGTATTGTGATAAGTTTCGGATAACAACAAGGACTGAAAATCCAGAATTTTGTTAGGCAGTGACCGACAGTTGGTACTAACGATAACCGGAACAGTGGTTTGATGTATGGGTGTAGATTATAAAGCACGTTGCCAACCACCATGGTGCTTTTTCTTGAGTTTATTGCAAATATGAAAGTTTTTAGGTTTTAAGCATTTTATATAATCTCGAGAGTGAATGATACGATTAGAATGCATAATTTTAAGTGTAAACACCAACAAAATATGAGTAAATAGATGCAAAATGTACATGGAATATGGTAGCCCAAAATGTTCAAACAGGCCGCCAAGGTCAATGGACAGGTTCCTGCAAAATCCAAAGGATACAACACCGTTAGTAGTGACGCAAGTAGACAATACGGACCAGCGAGAATAAAATGTGTCGACCAGCACACTGTATTTCAGATTTTACTGCGAAGTTATGTATATTTTCAATGAATCGTTTTAAACAAAAGTTGTGTACAATGTTTCTTATTTCATCATCCAACAAAAAACTGTGCAGTCATATTGTCCCAGACTCGGCGACCGCGTGCAGATTTCCGGCTGAATGCTGCTGATACACAGATCGGACGTCCAGGCATTTAGGAGAGTTGTTCCTTTGACCAGGCGATAACACCATGGCAAACGTCTTTTTTCATCTCTGCCCAGATAGCAATCTGTTTCTAGTTCAAACCAGCTTCCGCCACAGCTGTTGCCGCACTGCCACACGGATTCTACCACTCGCACTAGGGCCCAAATAGGGCATGAGCCATACCGCTCTCAGCTGAAAAAAGCGGTAGTTCATCGTCCATATTCCAATCACTGTTTACTGTACTACAGGTTCTCAACAGGTAGATTTAGATTAACTGGCATTACCTGCTTTGTCAGCAAAGCTCCAGGCCAGGCTAGAGTTGACACTAGCCATTTAGAGCCCAGGCAGTATAGAAAAATGTCAGCCACTCTAACAGGATTCCATGAAAGTGGCGATTAAAGCCTGCTGTGGCCTTAGAGGACTTTCTGTAGAAACCTTAGGTCTCTACGATTTTCTTCAACTTCCTGATGCCCATCAGTCAATACTGGCGGGCGCCGAATAAAACCTACGTAAGGCATTTACAAACAAGCACGATGAAGCCCGTTTTTACATATGATGGTCTGAAACAGAATCGGAGGCTGGGGCTTGTAATAACCGTGAGCTGTTCTAGCTAACCCGTCATACCGGTACCGTGAAAAATGACAATAATATAATTATTCCTATCTATGTAGGACACACCAGTTTTACAAGCATGGATAAGTATTAATTAAAATACACAAATTTGATTTATGGTGAAATTACATGGTTGCTGCCCTTTTTGACATTATTTTGTGGGTATAATCTGCTAACTATCGGTCTATTAGGCAGAAAGTACTCCGATTAAAAATCTATAGTAGCACCTAAGATTACGAGCAGAGCTTTCTGAGAAAAAGCCTAGCCAATCCATGGTGCCAGTACCCAACTCAATTAATCTTAGTGCTCCATCAACCATCTAACGAAGCTCAGGTTCGTAGATTGCCGTGACGCCCTCGGTCCAGACAGCATTCTCCCAGCTAATTTGTAGCTGATGGTGTTTATGGCTAGATGATGTAAGAATGGTGAGAAACTGAAAGCGATCGATTAATGTAGAATTGAATCACTGTCATACCTTTATTAAAAACGGCATCCATTTATATAAATCCTTGGTGTGTTCCGTTGCCAGGTTGGTGCGCCACATACTGTTATTTTACCTAGATATCCCAAATATTTATGTCGCCTAACTACCTAGGTGTCATTGTCGTATAATTCCCGTACGCGTCAGAAATGACTTGCTCTAGTTGTGCTACCATTAAAAGCACTCTCAGAACTTACTACGCATCCAGGCAACAGGTGAGTTGTATAACATTCTTATTTATTAAAACTGATGTGTAATCTATGTAAAAACACAACTCTCATCAAGACACACTACCCAGTCTCCAGCCGTTTTACTTTGAGTTCGTTAATCAGTATTAAAACGGTAAGTAGAGTACTGATAAGGGTATTAAGAGGTGAAATCTTTAGTGAGTGCTGTTAATTGAGGTCTTTCTTGTGTAAAATCAACACTTACATTTATAACTGACACACAATGTATGTAGGTTTCATAATCCTCAAGCGACTTCAGGCAGAGGAACAAATGTCAAATTAGTTAACGTCACATGCATGAGGATTGCCGACGCAGTTCGAATACTGGGTAATCGTTCATCAAATGTAATTTCATATCAAATTACAAAGTAAACAGTTGACTTACAAATAAGTGAAGTGTTTGGCTGCATGACCGTAAAAATTGGCACTGGAAATACAGGTCGAGACCACGGGCCACAAGAAACACTTAAGCGTTGTTCCCATAGTTTTCAGAAGGGTTTTCGGTAAACTGCCAAAGCAACAGACTGCTTATTAGACCAGAAAGTCTTGAAATCATTGGCTGTTTGCCAAAATGGCTTAAGAAAGCATAAAAATTAAGAGATATTGAGTCAGAATCAAATAAAAACTGTCCTTCTAGTTGATGGTACACAGTGGAGTGCCAGACAGTATCATAATGTTGAAAATTCCTTGCTGTATCATTCATACTGTTTTTGGAATAAAGCAAAAATTATTATTACTACTTAAATACCTCGTATATTAGTGAGTGCACAATATCAATGCACCCCTACTGCTTAGGAGAGACGTGAACCTTTTGGAAGGGGTCCAAAGGAGGTGACAAAAGGAGTGGTGGGTCTCCGAAAATAACAATTGATGAACGGCCAAAGAAATTAGGCCTATTCACACTTAGCTTCAGTAGGCTTAGGTAGGAGGCTTGATTACTGCCTACAAGATAACAAATGATCAGAATCACCCAAACAAAAGTTTTTTGACATTGAGTACTTTATAAGCTTCCTCATGGAACTTTCAGTAGGATAGCTTACCAGAAGGCGAAGACTAAAGTGATCTCCCACTTCTTTTCACTGCCAGTTCACCATCATTGGGACTGATTAACGGCAGATGTAGCTATAGACAGCTTTAACAGAAGGCTGGACCATCATGTAGAGCCACAAGGACTGAGTTCAAATGGCCTATCCCCTTAAAATCTCATACACTATTAATGGGTAGACATCCAAACATCGTTTTACTTCTTCACATTCTCTCTTGTTTTACTCTCCGGACTAGTCCAGCTACTACACTTGCGCTTATAATTATTACTGATATTATATGCATATATGTGTGTATATATAAAAACTTCAGATTCAATTGACTGTCTGTTTTTACGTTTTCTCTACTCCTTTTCCTGTCTTTTGGTCTGAATAACCTACACTAATTATATCTGTTATTATTGTCTCTTTTCTTTTTAAGAGGACACCGCAGGACTAACTAGTGAAAGGATCAACTCCATTCACAGTAGCAACACGGTCTTAACACACGACACACTACAAACAACATAAAATTAATCCCAACACTTCCTTTCTGGGGCCAACCATAGCTAGGACAGTCGACTGGTGAAACGAACTACGCAGAAGTTTACCAAAGACTAGGAACTTTTACCTTACAATCAAAAAAGCGAGCATAAAGAAAACAAACTGCTTTATACTATCTCGTAAAAACGATATTGGATACTGGAACCTATGTTCACTGAATTACCTACGGTTCTCCATGGGGATAATTTAGGAGTTCGAAGATGGCTTAAGGATGACAGAGACGTACTCATGTTAGAGAGAGGCTTCAAGAAACAGTAAGACTGCACCAGATGATAAATACAAACAGTTGAGGTTTGTTTGACTACTTATTTGTTTTAATGCCCTAATAAGGAAGTAACCTGGACTTGACTGTATATATAGTTCAGTCGTCATAGGAATCCATATTCGAAATCTAGAAGCCTTTGTTTACCTTCTGAAATGCAGATATTTGTTAAGACGTTAACCGGAAAGACTATTACTTTGGAAGTTGAGCCTAGTGACACGATCGAGAATGTGAAGGCGAAGATCCAAGACAAAGAAGGCATTCCTCCAGACCAACAACGTTTGATTTTTGCTGGTAAACAGTTGGAAGACGGTCGTACTCTGTCCGATTACAACATCCAGAAAGAGTCGACATTGCATCTGGTTCTCCGTCTGCGTGGTGGTATGCAGATCTTCGTGAAGACATTGACTGGTAAGACGATCACGTTGGAGGTTGAGCCTAGTGACACGATCGAGAATGTGAAGGCGAAGATCCAAGACAAAGAAGGCATTCCTCCAGACCAACAACGTTTGATTTTTGCTGGTAAACAGTTGGAAGATGGTCGTACTCTGTCCGATTACAACATCCAGAAAGAGTCGACATTGCATCTGGTTCTCCGTCTGCGTGGTGGTATGCAGATCTTCGTGAAGACATTGACTGGTAAGACGATCACGTTGGAGGTTGAGCCTAGTGATACGATCGAGAATGTGAAGGCGAAGATCCAAGACAAAGAAGGCATTCCTCCAGACCAACAACGTTTGATTTTTGCTGGTAAACAGTTGGAAGACGGTCGTACTCTGTCCGATTACAACATCCAGAAAGAGTCGACATTGCATCTGGTTCTCCGTCTGCGTGGTGGTATGCAAATCTTCGTGAAGACATTGACTGGTAAGACGATCACGTTGGAGGTTGAGCCTAGTGACACGATCGAGAATGTGAAGGCGAAGATCCAAGACAAAGAAGGCATTCCTCCAGACCAACAACGTTTGATTTTTGCTGGTAAACAGTTGGAAGATGGTCGTACTCTGTCCGATTACAACATCCAGAAAGAGTCGACATTGCATCTGGTTCTCCGTCTGCGTGGTGGTATGCAAATCTTCGTGAAGACATTGACTGGTAAGACGATCACGTTGGAGGTTGAGCCTAGTGACACGATCGAGAATGTGAAGGCGAAGATCCAAGACAAAGAAGGCATTCCTCCAGACCAACAACGTTTGATTTTTGCTGGTAAACAGTTGGAAGACGGTCGTACTCTGTCCGATTACAACATCCAGAAAGAGTCGACATTGCATCTGGTTCTCCGTCTGCGTGGTGGTATGCAAATCTTCGTGAAGACATTGACTGGTAAGACGATCACGTTGGAGGTTGAGCCTAGTGACACGATCGAGAATGTGAAGGCGAAGATCCAAGACAAAGAAGGCATTCCTCCAGACCAACAACGTTTGATTTTTGCTGGTAAACAGTTGGAAGACGGTCGTACTCTGTCCGATTACAACATCCAGAAAGAGTCGACATTGCATCTGGTTCTCCGTCTGCGTGGTGGTATGCAGATCTTCGTGAAGACATTGACTGGTAAGACGATCACGTTGGAGGTTGAGCCTAGTGACACGATCGAGAATGTGAAGGCGAAGATCCAAGACAAAGAAGGCATTCCTCCAGACCAACAACGTTTGATTTTTGCTGGTAAACAGTTGGAAGACGGTCGTACTCTGTCCGATTACAACATCCAGAAAGAGTCGACATTGCATCTGGTGCTTCGTCTTCGAGGTGGTCAGTAATCTTATTTGAAATTTTGTGTTTGGTTTAATAATAATGTGGTCTACCTAAACGTTTTTGTTTTGTTTTCATCGCGTCGGTTTTATGTTGACTGGTTAGTGGTGAGAGGGTTTATAGGAAGTGGGTTTTCGGACGCACTGCTTTACCTTAGCGTAATCGTCGATTGTCTTGAAAATCCAGCTGATGTGGTTGTTTTTTTCGGTTTTGGTTGTCGTTTTACGTAATTGTCACGGCATCTTTTAAATATCGGCTCATACTTTAGCAGTTATCTAGCTGAATGTCTAATGCAGAGCCACCTTAAGTAGTATTCCTACAAAAAAAGCAGCAAGTAATTAATTGCGTTGACTGATTGCGTGGTCGTGTTGGCTTTGATTGAGGCGTGCAGTATTTGAGTAGATGTCCTCACCGAATTAAGGACCACGGGCGATACATTATTCTTAATTTTGTGACTACCTTATCATTAACAGGATGTCTTGTTCAGTAACATTATGGAATGAGCGGATGTTTCTAGTTGCTACCTAGCCATCGATACAGCCGTAAATTGGTGTATGCAGGTCGTGACACTTGATGTAGTTAGTGTACTGATGTACTGAGGAGTGGTATGTTTTGAGCAGAACTATATTTAGTGTCGCATAATTCAGTTTAGCAAGTGGTTACTGGCTCTTTGTGACGCATCAGTAGATACTGTTCAATTTCACTAGTGGGAATGGTCATTGACAGTTCCGTGTCCTAGGATGGTGTATTCATTTTAACTATCTAGTTCAAGCAGTCCAGATTCTCTAAAAAGAGCGTAAGTTAAGCCACTGGATAACCCCGTGCTTTGTTATACTCTTGTGTTGCTCACTGTCCAGTTTCTTTAAAAGTGTCCCTATACTCTTACACAAATTACGGAACGAAGCATTTATCTTACAGTAGGCGTACGTGATTTTGGTCACGTGAAATCTCATCAGGGTGTTGTTATGATGACAACTTCCTATAGAAGTCCTTTTCAGTATATCACCATACATGTCTTAAGGGGTTGGGATTGCCGCTATACTTCATTTAATTGAAAGGCTTGACCTCTTAGTGTGCCAACACTTGAATTTGACTAAGATTTTCATGAGAATTCTAAGTATTAGCGTTGTGTTTCGTTGTATAGTAGTTAGACGTGGGCAGTTACCTTATAAATGCAATTTTAAGCCGTGCATGTGAGGCATATGAAACACCACCAAACATTGATTACGCGTTCAAATATGAAAAGTTCAGGCATCAAGTAATGTGAGAGATGATCGACTATTGGGTTCTTTGATTTACCTCTCAGTATTTCTCCATAATTCTGTGTATCGAACATGGAGTCATTTAGAGTTACCCATCCATCCTCACTTTCCATGGATTGAAGGTTTTATAAAGTGATGAGCACTGGAAACAACAATTTCAATCATGGTGAATAGTTAAATAAAAGCATGGTATGTGTAAAGAAACTGATTGTAACTGTGTAACTATGTAGCTGGCAATAATACCTGTAGTCTTTACATAATTATTCAAAGTACGTAATATGTGTTTTGGTGGAAAGGTTATTCTTTTGATTGGGCATGCCATGTGTCTAGTCCTTTGTTTACTGCAGATTGAGTCCTATCAGTCAAGCTTGCGATGTGGCCGCCATGTTAGGTAGCTCGCCATCATTGTGCACTCAGGATTGTTGTCACTGCTTGGTTGGAGGCAGTCAGCAGGAAGCACGAAACCTAGGTCCAAGGCTTCTTACCGATTACCTCCAACCATCTAATAATATAAATGATTTTCGTTTATTATTTAGATGAAAACAAAACACGTAGATCAACGAAGAGTCTCTTTTCGGCGAATTCATCTTCTTAGCTGTACAATCGCAAATATATATGCATTGTTTTGTTTGTATGTGTACATTAAGTTTGTCAAACAAAGTTACAATTGGTTAAGGTTAATTTTAACTAAACAAGTGAAGGTTGGTAATACAGGTCAAGAAAACTAGGGTAGTAACAAAGGTGATGAGTTGTCAGAAACAGTTGTAATAATAATAGTGAGTTTTACTCAGGATGCACATAGAAACAAAGTAGAAATTATGTAAGAGATCTAAGTGGATACAAGAATTACAATTGCTTAAGGTTATTTTAACTAAACAGGTAAAGGTTGGTAATATAAGTCAAGGCAATTAAGTGCTAGGATAGATCACAAAGTGAAGTGGTTGTATACTGAGTGTCATATCATATAACATTTGATACATTTGTAAACAATAGATCGTGTTCTAAACGTCTTCCAGTGAATTAGTAATGTTTTACTGTGCGGTCTGTATAAGAAACAAACTGATGATATGGACTTGCATTCTGCCGCACTGTTCGATTTCTAAACATATATTTTAATTGTTTCAGATTTTATAAAGTTGATAAGAACCGATAAATTATGATCATAAGATATTTTAGGAGTCGAAAGTTTTGAACACGAACGACACGATAATACATATATCCTTCAACTTCCCAGTGTACTTTTTCCCCCTAGGCCAGAGAACATTTATTAAGTAAAGACAGTACAACAATAAGATCATCCAAAATACGAAGTCTATGTTGGGGTCTGTACTCATGAGCAGTGATGCCTGCTTTAGATAACTAGAGATCGTGGGTGAACAACCTAAAGTAAGACAGGAGCGTGTCAATAGTGAAGGATGCTTGACAGCTTAAGCATTCAATGTTGGGTGGTGATATCTGTAAGCTTATAATTTTGGGGAATTATTTACCAGTACATTACTATCCGAAAATCTCGAATGTAATACATCAATATGTAGGGGTAATTTACAAGATGTTAAAATATGTTCAACCATATATCTCTGTCACTGAAAATTTCTATATCAAGCTAATATTCTTACATAAACAACGAAGCATGTCTATAACTAATCTGCTCTCGTATCGACCTGTTTGTATCATTGACGATTGTCCGAATTACTCATGATTCACTGATTTCTCAGTTCATATCACGTTTTACGCATTCATCCTTAAATGGTGTTATGGCTTAGATCGTCCACTAGTATATCTTGTCAGCATTTAATGAACTGATAATTCTTATTTTCGAGTGCTGATTTGCAGGGATTTCATTAATTTCAATTTAGATTACAAAATGACCTCTTACTTTATTCTACTGTCCTAGTTAGATATCGCGTGATATTCACCGATTGATTAGTGGTGCTACTTCAGACTGTGTATAGGTTTGAAGTAAATTGGTCAATGTGTGCTTGATATTTAGCAACCTCACTTTGAACCAAATCACTTAATATTTGTAAAGTGCATCGACTATATAATTTTAGAAGAGTGAATATCATACGCTTCGTGCAGTACTGAATAATAGAAACTGTGATGTAACTACTAGAATATTCGCTAGTTCAAAGATCATCAACAGCTCGCTTATTTGATCTGTGCTTGCTACACTACTTTTTGTTATATATAAAATAGTGGGGTCCGAATCAGAGTGAAACATTGAAGAATGGAGAAAGATGAATGATAAGTCGATAGTTTCATAACTCAGATTATTTCATGTAAAAGTAAACACTGAGGATGGTCCAAATATATGTAGGAGACAGATAATTATTACAAAGTAACTACCGGTACTAAGACTGTGCTACTGCCGACTTGTTATCATATAGTTGTGGAGTTTTGCAATTAGGTAACATTCGACTGACATAAATGTGGTGTATTATCGTGTGTAAATCAGGCACAAGGTAATTTCTCCATATACGCACTGAACACAGAGGTCATTATATGCGTCTGGAGTATTGGAACGAACCCTGGGCTTATTATTATTATTATTATTATTCCCTTAGGTTCCGAGTGGAACATAAGGCCTCAGTAACACATTTCCACTTTGTTCTATTCTCTGCTGTCCTCTTCAACTGGGTTCACGATTGCCCATAATCTCTCATCTCCTCCTCCAACTCACACGATCTCCGCCATGTCACCATAGGACGACCCACTCGTCACTTCCCATTGGGATGGCCTGGCGCGCGACATCATTCGATGGCCTCCTCAATGTATGCCCGATCCACCTCCATTTTCTCCTACGTATTTGTTGAGCAACCGGCTCTTGGTTGGTTTGTTCCCAGCCAGAGTTTCTTGTTGCTAATTCTTTCTGGCCAACCGGCCATTTGATCTTCGGTATGGGGCCAGTGAAGGCAGCTGTTGATAAAAGTCTGTGGCAGATTGTTGAAAATCCTTTTCGTGATACTCCAAGTTTCCGACGCGTATGGAAGAACTGGGCTTACTGGTGAGATTAATCCATGTGTAAAATTTGGGCACTGTGGTACTGTGTAATTCCATACTAATTTGTTTATTAGATATATCATACATTGAAACAAGATTATTTGCTGAATGATGTTTCGAATACAATTTATCGTTCAAAATCATTTCATTAATTGCGAATACATTACTTCGGAACTTTCGTTTTATAGTTTTGAAAACAAAATACGTAGTTGGGCTAAAAAGGCTCTTTTCGGCGAATTCATTTTCTTTAGCTCTACAATCGCACTTATATACCAATTTGGCATGAAAGAGGGTAGTAGCAAAAGTGATGAGTTGTCACAAGCGTAGTTGTTAATGTTAGTCAATGCATAAAAGTAGTTGAATAAGTGCATTATAGTAACGCAATAAGACTGACAATTTGATGGGCGAGTTGTAATTTAGATGCACACAGAAAGGAATAAAAATATGGAATTATGCAAGAGTTCTAAAGAAATACAAATGTTAAAAGGAGTCGCAAAAAAACATCAAGTCAGTAGAAGTCAACATGGTTGTTACCATGATAGTAGAAGTGGTCAGATGATTTCCTTTTGCATACATAACTCTAGTTCCGCAAACTGAATGACTAAGGCTTCAGCAATACAACAGAGATGGAACCGTTAATCTTCGCTTTGTAGGTCACTTTGAATGGGGCGTTTCTTGAGATGGGATGACCAGTGTTGAGGAGATGTTCGATTATTATTATTATTACCTTTTCGCAGCCATGCGAG